CCCCCCCCCCCCCCCCCCGCTTTTCCTGCCTGGGGCTTCTGGGGTGGAAGAGGTGCACTACTGGAACCAAGGAAAGATCCAGCTGGGAGGGGCTGAGTTAAGACAGCTGGTGTCTTCCTGTCTGAGCCAAAGTCCTGAGCGCCCGGATAAACCATCTTTGGTAGCTTCCCATTCCTGTAGAAGCTAGTGCTGGCTTCCGATTCGACCCAGTGGGAAAGGAGCCCTTGAAGGGCATTTGTGGAAGGAAACTCTCTGCACCAGACTCCTAGGCACAAACCCTGGTTTTGACTTGGTTCTCTCTTAGAGCCAAGCCAGACTCTAGGGAATAATTGGTTGGGTTTGCACAGAGGTGCTCAGCCTGAAACTCCAGTGCAGGATTGGCCCTTAAAACATTCAAAGGTTTGGGACTGAATTATAATCTTCAGGGGGACAGAAAAAAAAAAGCTATGAATTCCATGATTTGGGAGTAACTGTATAATGTGTATTGACTTAATTAAATGGAAATCAATTCAAATTTTGTTTCTGACCTGATCCCACCCACTACTTTTGGGAGTGCAATGCCTGCCTGCAATTTTTGGCCAAAAGCAGCTCTCGGTTCCTTTCAGAATCTTGTCCACCCCCCAAAAAAACTTAGTTTGCAAATCAGAACAGCTGGTTTGAGTGACCACCTAAGATAAACCCAAATGAATTACAGGATGGCACAGCAGGATGTGGGAACCTAGTTTCAGAGGAACCCAACTTCAGAGTAGCTTCACATGTAACTTTAAGCCATGATGGTTTAACCACAGTTCACTGACTGAGCCACAAATGTGTTGGGGTTTGCACCAGATGCCTAGGTATAGACCTTGGTTTTCCAACTAGAGTTCATGCAACAAGCCAGGCCAAACATAAGCTGAGAAACCACATGTCCCTTAGTGCAATGGCCGGATCAGGGCCTCTTCTTCTTCCAGGCACCACCCTCTCGCCAGGTAAACACGGGATATGAGGAAAACAAGCACAGGGAAGTAGGATTACAGACTGCACGCATCCCTCCCAGGCAGGATGAAGATTGCAGAAATGACTACGCCGCTGGAAAAAAATTGGCAACGCCTACACCAAGCGAACAGGGCTGAAAATCTGTGCGAGACCAACAGCTTCAAGGTCCCCAATTTCCTCCAGGGCTGGGCCGGGCTGGACAGAAGGCAGGGCTTGTGTTGCCATCTGCTGTCCCGTGGTGGCGCGACAGAAAGGCCCCCTTTCACGAACACGTGGGGATGGCCGAGCGGAGCCTTTGAGCCGTGTGCTGTCTCCGCGGGGGATCCCGGGTGCCTTTCGTTTATCCTCCCCGATTGAGAGCAAGACCTCTTTGACCCTTCCCATTTCATCAGATCATCTCTCTCTAGATTGCGCAATTCGGTGCTTCTCTACACACGATCCCTCTCCTTGCGCCTGAAGATTGGTCCTAGTTCCCTTTCAGCTTTTTTGGGTTTCATTTTTAGCTTTTCGGGATGGGTGGGAGGGGAGACTGCTGCCCTTATGGCTGTAATAAAGATCTAGTTTGATTGGGCTGGGTTGGAAGCCATTCTGCTAACCTGGCATTCCAGCAGATACAAGCCATGCGACCAGATCATAATCATCGTAATGACTTCAGCTGGCTTGATGAAACAGAACGTGACCCAGATGTGCGGTGTGATTTGCAGCCAACGCCCGGGCGATCGCTCCACAGGAGGGCTGGCTAAGGTGTGCCTGCTTTGCCAGAGGAAGAATCCCCAGGTTAATTCTTGCGCATTTTCCTTCTCTTCTGTGGACAGTCCGGCTAGCAGCCAGTTCCCTCCGTTCACGGCCAGCTCAATTCCTCCCAGAGGAATCAGTCTGATCCTTTCAGGATTGCCCAGCAGAAACTTTCTTGGTTAGTCTTGCCTTGCAAAGGGCAAGGAGGGACTGTGCGTGAAGCAGAGTGGAGCACAGCGGTTCCACTTTGCCCGTGCTCCAAGCCTGTCTGTTCCTGGGCCCTCCTGCGCACTGCATGCGCTGGCCATCAGAGGGCACGAGAGCCACAGCTGGAAGCCGATCCCTGGGAAGAGGCCCCTGGCTGGGAAGGCAGGAGCGGGGTGAGAAGGGCAAAACGCCAACGTAGGCGGGGAGGGATGGGATATGTATTCCAAAGGGACCTGGAGGGCTCCTCCAAAGGGATCTGGATCTCCAAAGTGAACTGGAGGGCTCCAGCTGGGAAGACTGCTGTACTTTGGACACTTTTGTCTGACATAGAGAATTTCGTGTCCGGGGGCATCTGAACTGGCCTGGAGACAGCCCGTTTTTTGACTAGATGCCAGCAAAACCAGAATTTTTCTGAGTAGCCCTTTTCTACTTTGCAACACGCGTAGCAGATGGATTGTGGAAGATGAATCCCCAGCCTCTTCTTCTACTGGTTGGCACCTGAGGGCTCCCAGGTGTGCTGGGTGGGGTGCACCCATACCCAAGATCATGCTTAGTCTCTCGTAGAAACACTTGGCAACGCCCCGCACCAATATTGGCTAGAGCTGTCTGCGTGGGCAAAGTGAGGGTCCAGATGGCCGCTCAGCAGAACGTCAGCATCTCTCCCTCCCTCGTTAACTGCGAAATGAATGCGCACATCCAACCTCAGAGCCTCAAAGCAGATGCCTCCTGAAATCAGTCACAGATACTACGGAAGGGAGAGAGGCTGGGGGAGTCTCATTCCCCCCAGAGGGGGATTTTATCCCCTTTAGTAGTAGCAAAAGGGCTTTTGAATAACCAAGGAGAAAAAGGGGAGGCGTAGCCCCTTCTATGAGGGGGGCTGGAAGACTTGCGGTCACCAAGCCCCAAAGGCAGCTGGGAAACAAGATTGCTCAGCCCCCCTACCCCCCCGAACGCAGGTCCCTCTAGATGTGAGCGACAATGCCCAGCCAACAGGGACCCTTGCGTGGATCCACGTTTGGGGGACATTAAAGGGGGGCGAGTGTCTCCAAATACTTTCTCCCACAACAGTTCCTTTTAGACACCTCGGTCCGGTCTCCTTGCTTATTAAATAAATGTTTTAACTAAATAGCCCCTCAGGAAGCATTCAGCAACACACTTACCCCATGCTAATCTAAAATCAGGGATTCCTGAGTGGGAAGGGGCCCTTGAGGCCACCCAGCCCCCCGTTCAGTGCCAGAATCCAGAGGGGAGAGTCCCTGACCCACGGCTATCTGGCGAAGGGGTCCAGCAAAGGGCAGCCCTCTGGGTCAGCGGGTCCACCGTCAAACCACTCTCACCGTGAGGCGCGTTGTCCTACCGTTCCGCCGGAATCTGCCTTCCCCCAACTTAAGCCCCTTATTCCATGTCCCGCACGCTGGAAGGGGGAAAATGGCCTGGGTTCCTTCTCTGTGCCCCCCTCCGGGTGCCTCCTTCCCTCAGGCGGCCTTCCTGGGGCTGAGTTTCGCACCCTGGGATGGTTCTCGGCACCCTTCTCTGGCCCGGCTCGGTTTCTCTGAATTTTTTTGTTGTCAGCATCCAGAGCCAGACACAGGACTCGAGGCGGGTCTGAGCGAAGCAGCGTGAAGGGGCACAGTGCCTTCCTGGGATTTGGCAAACGTGCCTCTCTTGGGTCACCCGAAATGGCACGGGCCTTGCAGGCAGCCCTTTTACCTTGCCTTAACTTTAGTCGTGAAGCACCTGTGATTCCACAATCTTTTCAGAAATCTCATGACCAAGCGGGTTCTTCCCCATTCTCTACCCAAAGATCTGATTACCATTTTGCAACTTAATCATGATTTACTCCATTAACCCAATTTTCTGGGCTGGTACGTGACTGGCTTGGGGCACACCCGTTTTCAGTTCTATGGTACTGTTGGGTGGTTTCAACCCCACTTCGGACCCATTTTGGAGGGTGTGGATGGAAGGAACGAGAGGTCAGTTGGAGCCCCAGACAGACGGGTGGGCTGCTGCAGAGACGGTCAAAATCCCACTTCAGTCAAAAGGAGTCAAGTGGGGCCAATTCTGGCCACCAGCAGCAGGCCTGGCACCAAGCCAGCCCTTCACATATGGACTGGACTCCCAGATGGCTCAAACTATGGTCTATTTTAACCACGGTTTGTAAAAGGAGCTCCTATGGCTGGCTGACCCATTGCAAAAAGCCACAGACTAGTTCACACGGACCCCAACAATGAACAATTAAATATTTAACAATGATTAACATCTATTTGGGCTTGATGAGGAACATGAACCCACTGGCCAGCCTGAACCCACCTTAGTGCTTGAATGGAAATAAATCTTACTCCGGCTGACAGGGATGGCCAGGTTCCCACAAATGACCAAGGGCATTTTAGTCTGAACTCAAGGAAAAGGAAAGTGCCTCTGAGCAAGTGCAGAGTGAGTTTTTCTCACGACTGAGGGATTAAGCTGCCTTCTTCTGCGGCACCTGGCAGAGCAGAGCATACCAAATCCGTGTTCCTCTCCTCTGAGTCCTGCTGCCAAGTATTTCAGGAGATGCTGAAGGGCCGATCCAGGAGCACGCAAGAAGGCGCCCTCCTCCTCCTCCTCCTCAGCTTGACTTCAAACGAGAGGCGCTCATAATTAACGTGCCACAACAATGGAGAAACTGAGGCCTTAGCAGGAGGAAGTGACTCACGCACTAAGCAGGGAGTGGAATTAGGAGTT